GCGGTCAAAGGGTCCCCCACCTGGCCCCTCTGACTCCAAAGCCCAGTCCCCCTGGTGGTGAGGAGGCTGGCTTTTGGCCTCCGTTGACAGCAAAGACCTGCCCAACGGCTTCACTTATAAACAGTATATTTCTTTGAGGGTTTTTTCTAGTCCTTGAAAAGTCAAAGGAAAAAAAAAAAAAAAAAAAAAAAAAACAGAGAGGAAATCCTGACAGAGTATGTGGCCTAAGTTAAATGTAACCACAATTAGGCACCAGAGTTAGTACAAGCGATGATGCAATAACAATGAAGGAATTAAAGTGGGTCTGTTGTTTATTAATAACTCAGCCATTGTGAAAGTCAAAGGGTTCAGGTCTGCCTTTGATCTCTCTTCTCTCTCTCTCTCTCTCTCCTTCCCTCTCTCCTTCGCTCTCTCTTTCGCTCTCTGTTTCTCTTGCACATCCACACACAGAGAATCTCAAAAAATAAAATCCCTGAACATCAAGCAAAAAAATACTACTATGTTCCAGCAACTGCTAATATTTTCCTTCCCTGGGCAACTGGCCCGGGAGTCCAGCAACTTGTGCACAGAAAGCCCTGTCCCTGAATAGAACCTTAAGCCGCCCTCCCCGTCCCCCTTTTCCCCCCAGAACACAGCACTCAAGGGGTTATTCCTTCTACGTTCCTTGGAAAATGACAGGGGAGATAGAAAAGGACATTGTTTGGCACCAAATGTTTAACATTCATGTGAAAACAATGACCGAAGAAACCTCGCTGTGATGTTTCGGGCTGTATATTTTCGTTTATCTCATTCAATAGGACTGGATAAACCAACACGATTATTTATTTTTCTCCGCTTGCCCCGCTTGGAGGATCCACTCTTCATTAACATGCGCTGTTTATTTTCCTTGCAAGGGAACTCCAAGATGATTTCTTACTTCTCTTTGTCCCGACTGATATGGCTCGCTGACCAGAGTTACTGAGGGGTGGGGCCATGCCGGTCCTCGGTCTCAATGAATGGGAGGTTCAGATGTCTAATTTAGGTGTTTATCGCCATCCTAAGAAAGCACGGACTGTACCGAATGGTTCCATTTCATGCTGCTATTTAATTAATAAGGCACCTTTCTGAGTATCCTTCTATTCAAGGCTCTCATTTTAACATGCTTTGGATTATAAAGATATTTTGAACATAGGACTACTAGCAGAATTCAGTAACCCCCCAGTAAATATCAGGGGGATTGGGGCGTCTCAATGTTGGCATGCCTGACTCCTTGGGGCTGGATAATTCTTTGAGACATGGGAGGGGCTCAGCTGTGGGTATTCTGGGGTGCTTTGCCTAATCCCCAGCCTGGCTGACTAAATACCCATAGCGCCCCTCCACTCACAGTCAGGACAATCAAAAATGTCAGATGCATCTTGGGCAGGGGCGGTGTGTGTGTGTGTGTGTGTGTGTGTGTGTGATCACCACAGTTAGAATCACAAGTGCCTGATGAGTTAGAATGAAAGAAAGAGAGGAAAGAGAGAAAATGAAACGTTTTGCCTCTTCCTTTTTAGGTTTTGTCCAAGCCTCTCCAGATTTCTAACCGTCCCATCCTTTGACACCTCCCCTGGTTAAGGATGTTACTCTCGCTAAATCTCTCTCAAGCCTTGGGCAGGACCTTTCGAATAGATGTGCTCTTGAACTTCAAATGGATTGTCCAGAAATCCACCAATTCCCACTGGGTAAACGATCGGTAGACCTAAGCCCAGCTCCACTTTGAGCCTTAAACTAACAGCATGTGAGAAGATCAATATGAATAAATTCAAAACGAATCAGACCCCTTCTTTCACTGTTGACACAGTATTATTTATATCCCCTAAATACCTTTCTTGACTAAAATTCACCCGAGAAAACTGGCAACTGGCCAGTTCTATTCATATTTACTGTATTTATACAGTACGCTGGGCCAAGGATAATATTTAAGACAAAAATATGCCTGGAGGCATATACAATATCTCTCATATTTTTACTTTGAAATGTCCACGTCGCTAAAAATATTGAGTCTGCACCGTATATAACATGCGCCGCGAAGGGGCGATCCGAGATCTGAAATGATATATGGCTCGTTGAGTATAATTAGAGCATATTTGTAATAGTTGAGCCCGAGTCACTCCCTGCACGCTAATAAGTTAGGGGGTAAAAAAAATATATATATATGAACCAATGATCTTTCCCATGCCTTGAGCTCTGAGGCTCCTGACCCTCACCAATGTCACTGCAAGCAGCAACAGGCACAGTCCCTCCCAGTCCTAAAGGGGGGAACGCTGGGTAAGGAAGCCACGGCTGTACTTTCAATTTGCTGTTTCAAAATATGGTGGAGTGCTTTTCTCTTTTCTCCCCCCTCCCTCCTTTTTTTTTTTTTTTTAATTTTTTTTATTTGGAAGGGCGTACTCTATTCCAGTATAACTCGAAAGTGCTGGAAAATCAGTTAACCTACTTTCTGTGAAATGGTCCACAGTCCTTACCCAGTAGGATGCAGTCTGCTGTACCTCTCTATCCCTCAATGAGCTTTCCTCAGACAGGCTGTTATTTTGGTATGAAAAAAACCAATGGTATATTTTGAAAATACTAGACCTCGGAGAGATTTTCTTTTCTCTTTTTTCTTTTTAAAAAATATATTTTATTGTTTGTTTTTCTTTTTTTACAGAAAGGAAGGGAGAGGGAGAGAGAGTCAGAGACATGGATGAGAGAGAAACATCCATCAGCTGCCTCCTGCACACTCCCCACTGGAGATGTGCCCTCAACCAAGGTCCATGCCCTTGACCGGAATCGAACCTGGGACCCTTGACTCCGCAGGCCGACGCTCTATCCACTGAGCCAAACTGGTTAGAGCCGGAGAGGTTTTCATATCTTTGGTGGCTCCACGTGGGGTGGGGAAGAGTTTTTACTTGCTGATCTCAGCTGCCCTGTCTGGGATCCTGACACTGTGAGAATTTCTCCACGCTTTGATGGCCATGACCTCTGGCCGGATCACCTCAGCCCTCTGGACTGAGAGATGCCGGAGAGAACAAGGCATGAATCTCTCTACACTTCTCTCCCTGGATGGATGCAACCTCCTCTGTGAAAAGCGCTGAGGATGCATCCGAGATTTTGCAGATAAACACACTGCTGAGATGACATACTCAGGTGCTGCCTAACACCCTGGCCAGGCTGCCCCAACAGCCCCGGAAACCACGCACGTGCAGGAGAAAGCAAACTGACTCAGCTCAGAGGTTGGGTCTGTCTCAATGGCTTTGGATTCATGACAATAAACCTTCTTAGTTCCACCCCAGACACAGAGCTTTGCTTCCCTCGGGGAATAACCAGGGTGGAGTGTATTTATCACCATCATCACAATAATAAAACCCTCCCGCCGGCCAGGATCCCCTGCAGGAGAGGATGTACGGACCGAAAGGTCCATGGGAAGACTGGGGTTAGTTAGCTCCACCGGCTCACGTGTGGAGACCCCCAAGTAGGAGACAGAATTGGGACTTGTCAAACCAAAAAGAAGTATTTAAAAAAGCAAAGCTCCACCCTACCTATCACTAAGAACCTCCGGAATCGAACGGATCCAGAGGGCCATAGGATCCATTTAGGAAAGACTCGGAGATCCCAGAAGGCAGCCAGCCAGCCAGTATATAGGGCACGGAAAGGGGGTGGAGAGAAATGGGCAACCAATGAAAAGTTTACAACTTGGGGTTTGGGCGACGCCAGTATAGAAGCTTTTTTTCTTCTTCTTCTTCCTTTTTATTTTTCTTCTTCTTCTTCCTGCTATTTAACCCTCTCAGGTAGCACTTCTTCTCCCCCCGCCCCCCCCCCGCCCCTTTCTTTGCAGAGTGGGAACTAAGTCTAAACAGACTGTCTTTTTCTCTACCCTTGTACCCCTATCCCCAAGGGGACACCCCAATAAATCACGGGCTCCCATTGCTACTGTATGCCAGCTGGCTTGGAGGACGCTGCCCTCCGAGAAACAGGTTTACAGGAAGCAGACGGGCTGCCTTCTCCTCCCTCTGCGGCTCTCCGGGCCGGCGCCCCAAGTCCCAAGTCTAGGCAGGAGCTCAGGGCTCCCCATGGATACAGATAAACGCATAAAAAAGGCCATTTGGCGACCCCCCTACTCCCCCCCCTCCCACCCCAGCTGCAGGAGGCAGGGTGGGGTAGATTCTGGAAAAATAACGTGCAAATCATCCCCTTTTCCGTATAGAGTCTGAAGGCAAGCTGCCCCTGGCCCCCGCTCCAGGTGACTTTCAAGAGGGGGGGCTGGGCACCAGCCGGCCTTTGGGGGAAGGAATGTAAACACCTGGCGGTGGCCACAGGCTCTTAGGAGGTAGGTGTTTTTGGAAGGTTTGTTTTTTTTTTTTTTTTAACCAGATCGGGTTTGTCTGGGGGACAATAGGGAAGCTTTCGGGGAGCCCTTTGGGTAGATGGGTCGGCGGTGGGGCGAGCCTGGGGCGCCTTCCCTTCCTGAGAGGCTAGCTCGGAGCCACTTTTTTTTAACCCTTCCTGCACCAGCTGGGCCGGCTCCACGGCTGTCGGTACACTCCCCCCTCTCCCTCCCCCCCCCCAAAAAAAAATAATAAAATAAAAAGCACCAGGATTCCCCTGCTGACCTTGGCATCTCGGGGGACAAGGGGGGGGGGGGTGGCATTGGGGGAGCCGACTCCTAGCCAAGAATCTCAGGGGCCAGAAAAAAGAGAAAGAACGCCTTGGAGAGGAGAAGGAATGGGGGGGGGGGGGGGGGGGGAGAGAAACGTGGAAAAAAAAATACAGTGAAAAGGCAACGTTTTCCAGCCTCAGGGAGCGGAAGGGGCGTGAGTGGGGGCCGAGGGGACGGAGACCCCCAAGCCGGAGCCGGGGCGCATCCCTGGCGGCGGCGGCGGCGGCGGCTGCGGCCCCGCGTTTGGGGCAGCGCTGAGCCCCCCGGAGGATGCAAACACCCGCACACCCACAACACAGCCACCCAGCCGGGCACACCGCGCGGAAGCGGACGGGGCGGCACTCACTTTCGGAGGGGAAGAAGGGCGGCATGTCGATCTTGTAGATCTCCTTGGCGTAGTACTCCTCGTCGCTGCGCTCCCGCTCGCAGGCGGCGGCGCGGCGGCCGGCCTTCTCCTGCAGCAGGTCGCGGGTGCTGTTGTAGATGGCGATGACCTCCGGGGGCACGTCCTCGGGCTCCGGGTAGTCCTCCGGGGGGCTGGTGAGCTTCAGCTTGCTGAGGATCTGCCCGCGGATCGCCTCGATCCTCTTGCGCATGAACTGGTCCATGTCGAGGGTGCTGCAGGTCGACAGGCTGAGCGCGGCCGGCACCCAGTGCAGCAGCAGGACGGCGCGCAGCACGCAGGGCTGCATTTTATTTATTTTATTTTATTTTATTTTATTTCTTTCCTTTTTCTTAAAGGTGCAAAAAGTTGGGGTGGTTGTTGTTGTTGTTTTTTCCCCCCCTTAAAAAAAAAAGTTTCCAAAAAATGGCACCCAAAAATAATAATAATGACGATGAAGAAGAAGAATAAAAAAAAAAAATAGAGAAAGAAATGCAAAAGAAACCCAACCGATCTGCAAATACAGCTCAGGCAGATGATTTTTTTTTTTAATGCGAAACTTTTGCTAACAATCGAGTCCCTGTCCAATCGAGAGAGGGAAAGAGCGAGCGAGCGAGCGAGAGACAGAGAGAGAGAGCGAGCGAGCGAGCGAGAGAGAGAGAGAGAGAAGGTCTCTAGATCTCTTGCTGGAGAATTCCTTCCCTAAGAAAAGGCCAGTCGTTCCCAAAGTGGAAATGGGACTATGCGTTGGGCAAAGGGATCCCTCAACTGGGAGGAGGAAGTGGGGAGAGTTGGAAAAAAGTTTCCTCGGAGCGACGAGCCGGGGGGGAGGAGAGGTGAGTGGCCGGGAGGCAGGCGTGGGAGGAGGAGGAGGAGGAGGAGGAGGAGGAGGAGGAGGAGGAGGAGGAGGAGGAGGAGGAGGAAGAGGAGGAGGAGGAGGACACGGAGTTCAGTGTGTCAGTGTCGGGCGCGGAGTGGCGGATCCGAACTCGGCTCCCGCGGCCGAGAGGGAGGAGAAGAGGAGAAGGTCCGGGCGGGCGGCGCTGATGGATGCGTTTAACGCAGCTGCAGGCAGCTCGGAGCGGAGGATCGCACACGTGTGTGTATGCGTGTGAGTGCGTGTGAGTGTGTGTGAGTGTGTGTGTGTGTGTCCGTGCGCGTGTGCGCGCGCGGGGGGCGAGCCCTGAGCCTGGCGCGCCGCGGGGAGGCGGCCGCGCTGCGCTGGGAGCTGGGGACGCGCTCGGATCGAAGCGGCAGGGACCCTGATCTGCTCCCCGAGGTCCCTGCTCTGCTCCCCGAGGTCCCTGCTCTGCTCCCCGAGCCGCGATCGGGGGCCTCCACCCCGGCCGGAACGCGCCGACCCGCCCGGTCACTCCACGTCGCTGCCGCCGCCGCCGCCGCCGGGCGCGTCCAGCCTGCAGCGCCCTCCTTCTCCTCCCGCTCCTCCTTCTGCGCTCGCTCCAGGCGCCAACCAGGCAGCAGGCGACCGGCCGGCGGCCGCCTCCGTGGCTCCCGGCCCCCCGGGCCCGCTGGCTGGACGGTCTTATTCCTAAAGGGGGGGTGCGCAGGGCTGCCCCTGGGACGCCCACCCTTGGCCGGCCTCTCCCGGAGTCTCTGCCGCTCGGGCTTGCTCGCTTAGGGGAGGTGGGCACTTGGCACCCTGGAGCCCACCACCCTCCTCCTCCTCGCTCCTCTCTGCATCCAGGCAGCCCCCTTGGCCGGATCCCGAATGGCAGCCTAGACCGTTATACCAGGCTCTCCATCCTTCTCCTCTTCCTCCTCCTCCTCCACTTGCGCTCGGTCTCTCTCTCTCTCTCTCTCTCTCTCTCTCTCTCTCTCTCTCTCTCTCTCTCTCTCTCTCTCTCTCTCTCTCTCTCTCTCTGTCTCTCTCTTCCTCCCTCCCTCCCTCCCTCAGCTTCTGGAGCTCCTCTCCAAGTGAACCCGCTGCTGCCAGCAGATAACATCACGGTCTTGCCTGGGAGCAGAGATTTATAAGTTCCCTCTGCACCACGTGTCTGCCTTCCACAGAGTGACGTGCTAGGGTTACAGTCAGAAGTCCTCTCTCTCCTCGCCTAGACCTGAGCTTGGCCTGAGCGGCCCAAGGATGGGTGGGTAGGTGTGCGCGCGCAGGGAGGGGAAGGGAGGGGAAGAGGACAGGGAGGGAGGGGGAGTGTGCACCCTGACAATGGTGATTTAGGGTATTTACTTGATAAGAGTCCCTTTGCACGAGGCTGCTGAAGGACCTGCTAGCTAGTCTCCCCCATCTGAGTGAGCAGGGCTCCCCTCACAGTCTCCCAAATGGAATCACTTGCTCCAGCGCAGAAGGCTTCCCTTCTGTAGAGTGTACGCGGGCGCGTGTGCACACACACACACACACACACACACACACACACACACACAGGAGCACTACTTTACTCTGGGCCAGGCCAACCCCTGAAACACGGCTTTCCATCTAAGAGTCACTTCCTACCTTATTTTTATTTATTTGTTAATGGAATCCGTTTCTGCTGTTCCCTGATACTGTTTTATTTTTTTTAAATATGTTTTTATGGATGTCAGAGAGGAAGGGAGACGGGGAGAGAGTTAGAGACATCCATGATGAGAGAGAAACATGGATCGGCTGCCTCCTGCGCGCCCCCTCCTGGGGATGGAGCCCACCACCTGGGCATGTGCCCTTGGCCAGGAATCGAACCCTGACCTCCTGGTTGATACCTAACAGGATTCTAATGCGCGTATCCTAAAGCACAGTGATTATAGTGTGTTACCATCTAGCTAGCCTTCCATGGGACCGGGAACTGCTGGGGACAGACAGCTATCATTTATTTATTTATTTATTTATTTATTTATTTATTTATTTATTTATTTTATTTAAAAGAATGAAGCATGTTTGTTCATTTCGCTGTTGGAATGAATGGCTCTCTCTTTAAGTTGCTGCCTACGCCTCTTGCTCACGGGGATTTCTCTTCACTTCTTCTCCGGCAAGACATTCACATCCGGGACGCTGAGCACGGCCTGTGTCCACCGTGAACATCACACATCACTTGACATTTTCTCTTTCGACACAACCCCCATGAGACAGCACAAGGAGCGCTCTTGCTGCTGTTTGCTTTTCCCCCTCTCTTTCATTTCACCTTTTCTTGCTCCAAGTCAACATTTGCATTTCGGCACGACTGACTAGACCCGTGGTCGACAAACTGCGGCTCTTTGGCCCCTTGAGTGTGGCTCTCCCACAAAATACCACGGCCTGGGTGAGTCTATGTTGAAGACGTGGCACTAGGAGAAGTTTACGTTTAAAGAATGTGGCTCTCCAAAGAAATTTCAGTTGTTGTCCTGTGGCTATTTGGCTCTGTTGGCTAATGAGTTTGCCGACCCCCGGACTAGACGGATGATGTGCGCTGGAAACTCTGCTGAGTGTTCCCCCAAACCCAATGCCTGTGTATTATTCCTTAGGTGGGTGTTCCTTTTATTCTAGGAAGGCCACAAGGAACTGTCTCTAGCTTCTGACATGGACCCTTTACCTGTCTAGGGGGCCTGTATTACTAGGAAACAGACAGCTGAATAGATGTAATAACAATAGCTAATGTATTAGTCAGATAGAGAGATGGATGTATATGGACATTTAATCTGCACAACAGCCCCAAATGACACGTTATTATTATCATCATAATATTAATAATAATATAATATTCTTACCTAGTTCAAGGCCATCGTAAGTGGCAGAGCTGGAGTCTGCAGAGAGCATTCGTTGCCTATGTCCATACCCAATAGCAACTTCCAAAACATACCTGAATAAGTCTTAAAAACATGGATTTTATGGCGATGCCCATTTGGGAGACACTGGGCACTCTATTATAGACTCACTATGGCCATCATTATGCTAAAGGCTCTGAGAAATTGACACATTCAACTCTTAATCCAGCATGTTCCAAACCCCCTTGAACATGAAAATTCCCCCTCTCCCCCATTAATACACATTGAAAAACTCTGGAATAAAGGAATTGTTTCAACCCACTTCTGAATAATTCTGAAAGTTACATATAAATCAGCATCGGCAGGTGCCTTTCCTTTTTAAAAAAAAATACATTTTTTAAAATATTTTTTTTATTGATTTCAGAGAGGAAGGGAGAGGGAGAAAGAGATAGAAACATCAATGATGAGAGGGAATCATTGATTGGCTGCCTCCTGCACGCCCCACACCGGGGATTGAGCCCGAAATCCGAGCATGTGCCCTTGACCAGAATCGAGCCTGGGACCTTTCAGTCCACAGGCCAACACTCTATCCACTGAGCCAAACTTGCTAGGGTGGTTCCTTTCCTTGAGGCCCAATGGAAGCGGCCAGCACCCCAACAGCCAAAGCAAAAATACACTCAGGCGTGGCTAAGACTTCCCTGAACTCACCCCCCTTTGAGCTCAGTTCCAGAAGAGAAGGGCAAGAATGCAGCTGCACCAGAGGGGGTAAAAGTGACCATTCTTACAGCCCAGGGTGATGCTGATGGCCCCGGTTCAGCCTCTCTCCCCCTTATCCCCTTCCACCCCGTCACCGCCCCACCTGAGCCAGGGAGACCACCTTCTTGGTTAGAGACACAAAATCACCCGAGACTGCGTGGATTCTGATTGGAGTGTGGAGAGAGCAGCAAACGTCCATGTGTGTCACCGCGAGGGAAACGGCCTAGGCCATGAATTCTTCTGTCAACCGTCCCCACTTCCCAACATACACACACACACTCTTGTCCATGATGGTTTGTTGAACACCCACTGCTTCCTTTATAACAACTCAGTCCCCCGGCCTAACCCTCAGAGGCTAATTCTAAATTTCTCTCCACCCCTTTCCACAGCCTAGGAAAGCAGGACAGGGGAGGGTCTGTGAAAACCTCTGGTGTCGGCTGAAACCGGTGTGGCTCAGTGGATAGAGCGTCGGTCTGCGGACTGGAAGGTCCCAGGTTCGATTCCGGTCAAGGGCATGTACCTCAGTTTCAGGCACATCCCCAGTAGGAGGTGTGCAAGAGGCAGCTGGTTGATGTTTCTCTCTCATCGATGTTTCTAACTCTCTATCCCTCTCCTTTCCTCTCTGTAAAAAATCAATAAAATATATTTTAAAAAAAAGAAAGAAAAAAACCTTCTGGTGTCGGTAGGTGAGCCCCTTTTTCCTCTCGGGTGAGCGATCCTTTGAAGGTGTAACAGGTTAGACTGTAAGAGCTGCCTCCCTGGTAACTAACTACATGGGAT